GTATCCCCTTGTTTTGTCTAGCTTTGTCAGAGATGGATATTCCATTGCCATTTAAATATTGTAGGTGCATAAATTCAGCAAAATAATCCAATATACTCCAGTAGTCCATAATACTAGTGGGTTATTCACAGGACTGGCAATGTCAGAAGTCATTGACTTGAACCTTTTACAGCTCAGCATATTAATATGGCTTTGCTTTTTATACCTCGCTTTCATCCTTTTCTGCTGGATGGTTAAGACCACAATAAAGCAAGGCCTATATAACAAGAAATGTAACTTCTGTATCTGACAAAGTCAGTCAAATCCCCTCATAATTTGCCCTGAAACACTGTACCACAGTTTGTAGCTCCTTTGTCAATGTCAGTCATGTGGCTGAGTCACGGCAATTGCTTGACTAATTTGCTCTCTGTGAAAGCTTGGGAGAAAGTTTTCCCTCCATGTGACTCTCCTTAGGCAAACTCTACATTGTAGATCATTTTCCTCTGTGGCCCCATAATCTCCTTGATCAGAAAATTTGGGACATCACTGAGTTACAAGATATTACAGTACAGGTTCACTTATGTCCTGAGTCCTCACTGACCTTGAAAGGCTAGGAAACATGACAGGGGTAGAACTATACATTTGTATGCACAAGATGATTGAGGCAATGATCCTGAGAATCTTCAGCAGGTTTTTGAAACTAGCAGTTAATTGGTAGGATTCTCACCCTGACTAACTATATATGCTGATACCTATGAACTAAGCAACTGCACTGAAGATAGCAATGTGTAATACTAGGGCCATGCCTGGAATGCCTGTCATTCTGGTCTTCTAAATATGTTCCACTTCTAATGTCATATCAATTACTGCTACACTGTATCTCAAGTAAATGTTTGTTTTTTTTTTTTTAAAGAAGGGTAATAAATGAAAACAAGAGACAAGTAAAAAATATCATAGGACTGTCCTGCTACAATGCTGTATATGGTTAGATTTCTAAATTTCTGTGTAAAAATATGTAATTGTTTACTCCTTTTTTAATTTTTAATTTTTTTGTTTTTTCTTCACATTCTGCAGGGATTTAAAGTTTAACATATTAAGACTTGATGGAAAATACCTGCTCCTGTTATGTCTATGATGTTTAATATTCAGACAGATAGTGAAGTTAAGCTCAACTTCCTAGGTTATAGGGTAATCATATCATTAAGCTTCTCTTCTGGAGGGTTAACAACTTAAGTTTGCAGACTAAAGATTAATAAGAAGAAGGGCTGCAAGGACAGCCAACATTTTGGCCCTGTTGGATCCACTTTTTATGTTCACCTGTTTATAAAGTGTTTCTCATTCATTAATCAGCAACTGTAGCTCTGACTTCTATAACTGACACTTTGTCTACACGTTGGTTGTTTCTGTGGTCCGTGCTCTCAATAGTATTTTAATTTCCTAGGTTTTGATTTGGAATGCTATGGACTCCCATTCTTTTCTATATTGGGTATTTATACTTTTCATCTCTGTCTTTAGCTCTTCTACATGCTTACAAATATTTTCTCTAGATTTGTTGATCATTTGTTTTATTGGGATCATTATCTCTTTAGATGTATCTTCCTTGAATTTACCATGTACTTTATTCATCTCTTTTGTTATTTGCATTGATATTATTTCAGATATTTCTGCTGTTTGGCTATTAATTTTTTCTCCTTTGATGCCACCTGAATTAAATTTGGGGAGTTGGGAGTTTTGGGAGGTAGTCTGCTATCTTGTCTTCTTAAATTTCTTGTTTGTTTGTTTTATGTGCTGGATATTTATGGATGACTATAGGAGTAGCTGTGTGCAGTGACATCCTCTGGATGAAGCTAACTATCAGCTTTTGCTTCTATCTCAGGATCTAGCTACCTTCATCTATTTGGGAGAGGAAGCTGCAACTTATTTGACCTTGTACCCGATTCTTTGGAAATGAGCCACAGAATTGTTTATGACCCTCTGGCAATCCTGATATTTTCATCCACAGAAAAGCAATTGTCAGTAGTAACCATGTCATATTGGCTATAATGGTAAAAGCAGCAATAATAGCATCAAATATAAACTGGATACTGACAGGAACCACTCAGGAATCATCCTTCACCAAATCAAAGAGATCTATCATTTTAGTATAGACACTTAATCAGCCAAAATTTTTACCTCCAGTAAATCAGACACAGGTCTCTGTTGGGTGCACATAGTGTCACAGGAGTTCAAGCACACTAATGGACTCAATACCATTGCCTTCAAATACACCCCCCTCTGAAGGTTACACCTACAAAATTTGATCTCCCACCACAGAATGAAAGTATCTTCAATTTTCCTGGACTGAGCTTGAGCTTCTTATGGAATTTTAGGGCTTCTATTTCTAGCCTTCACTCTTTATGAATCTATCTCTTGTTTTCCTCCAGATCTCCTCCTAAATTTGGTCAGTCATTTGGCTGTCACTCTGCCACTGTGGACAAAGGAAAGCCAAGGTAGAAAACCAGACTAAAATTGGTAGTTTGACTCTGGTTGTGATAGGCCAGCATAGATTGAGCCCTTTCATTTTTCTTTAAGAACAACTAATATTAAGATCAAAATATTTACCTGATTTTTTTCATCTATTTTAGCCTTGGGGAAAAACTTCAATGAAAGACATCATATTAAGATCTCAAAAAATACTGCATTCTAGACAATATGGAATAAATGAAGACATTATACTCTGGAACACTGTGTTGGTTGTGGTAGAAGCAAAAATTATGAGAATAGCCAAAACAGTATTTATAATTAACATTGTCTTAGTTACTCTTCTCTCGTTGCTGGGATAAATACCTGACACTCAAGCTTAGGGAAGGAAAGGCTTATTTAGCTCACAGTTACTGGAGATTATATAGCTTAAAACAGCCTGAATCACATAGCAAGACCTTGAGACCCTGCCTTCTGGCACTACAGGGTCTGGAAGAGAGACTGTGGTGCCACTTTGTCTAGAATGATCTGCTCCATACCTCCAAGAGAGGTCCCCAGTCGAGGTGCGGGAAGGGAGAGACAGGCTGTCAGTTTAGGTTCACACCTCTCTGGCCCCACCCCTCAAAGCACCTGCTGCTCCTGAAGCTCAACTGCCCCATGACTTACATGAGGCTTTAGAGGGACAACTAGATACAAATCATAACAAACATGATTTACTGTAATGCATCATTTTGAATATATATATATATATATATATATATATATATATGCTAAACATTATAGTTAAGTTTGATTGTCAATTTGACCAGATTAAGAGTCTCTAGAGTGGTGATTGGGTCATTGGGACATTACATTCACTAACGGACTCATTCACTGATGATCATAGCTGAATGTCCCGTTAGGATATGGTTTCCAGTTAGAAGAGGTCAGTCACTTGGAATATGCCTCTGGAGGGGACACTTATTGGCACACTTCCCCCGTGATCTGTTTCTCCCTTTTCCACCTTTCCTTACTAGCATGTTGATTTTGGCACAAGCTATTCATGGGCTGAGACCTCTGAAACTCTGAGCCAAAATTAAACTTCTTTCTCCAATTGTGGGTGTCAGGTATTTTGACCACAGCATCAAAAAACTGAAAAATGCTCTAAATTAATGCATTAAATATTAGTGTACATTTAGCATTTTCTTGCACATCACTAACAGCTGTACAACTCAAGTGATAAAAACACTTCTTATGACACACATTTCATGGGGAAATGGAAAATCTAAAGGATATATACTGGAATAAAAAGATTTTTTAAATATTTATTAAACTGAAGACATATAAATAGTACAAAACTAATATAGTAATACCATATGATCTCCATCTATTTTCAATGTTTAACATTTTCTCAGACTATCTTCAGATATAGACATAGATAGATAGATAGATAGATAGATAGATAGATAGATATAAATAGATGTAGATAGATGCAATTTGAGTGAACCATTTGAGAAAAAATATGGCTGTAATTATTCTATCATTTAATATGTCAGTCTGCATCTATAAGGATTAAAATATCATTTTTTAAGAAAACAATGAACATTAATTTTAGTTCTAAAGTCTCCTTTCATATAGCTAGAGTATTATTATCTTTCCTAAAATATTAATGATTCTTAGTAAGATATACTTACAGTCCATATTTTGATTTGTACAATTGCGTAAAATATGATTTTTTCATCAGTTTTTCACAAAAACAATTTTTAATAATCCAATGAAGGGGGCCAGGGAGATGGCTCAGTAGAATAAGCGCTTCCCTGGCAAGTGCAAGGACCTGGGATCAATCCCCAGTTCTGCAAAAATAATAATAATAATAATAATAATAATCCAATAAAGGAACACATAATACATTTGCTTATAGTATGTTACTTTTTCTTTTCATTTGCTTTTTTTCTGATAGTTTCTTTTAAGCCCTCTATATCTGTCCTTTTTTTTATGAGAATTGATTTTATGAAAGACCTCACCAGCTGTCAGATAAAAAGTGCTACATTGTGGATTATCTGATGGTTTTCTCATGATGTCCTTTACTATGTCTCTCTATTTTTATATTTCTATCTAACAGAAGTTTTATATATAAGAGCTAAATTAATTTCAGATTAAACATTTCATATTTGATGCTATTCATTGATTTTTCCAGCACACTAATTATTCCATATGGATGACATTTATGATATGCTTTGATAAACTGATTTTGATAATGACTCCAGATTTCTGATTAAGCAACAATTTATGGGAGTATATTGCCTCCTTGCCCATACTCTGTTTCTCACCACCTTTTCACCTAGTAGACTAATTGACTTTGAGAATTCTTTCTTAAATCAATTATCTCATTAGAGGTTATAAAATAAAACTTAAATTTGTTATATCCTCTTCAATAGCCTATTTTCAGTTTTTTCTAAGTCACTTTTATAATCTTAAATATGTTCCTTAAAATTTAAAAGTAGAAAGCAAAAACTGTTCTATATCAATAGTATATTTGTAATGCAAAATGGCTAATCTTGGATTTTCTTTTATATTTTTAGCAAAATGGAAGCCTACCTATTTATGCAAAGACTGTTGCTGAATCCTTTGAGGAGCCGCCCCTTCATGTTTTGGTTACAACATACATGGGATATGGAATTGCAACCCTGTTTGGTCATTTCAGAGACTTTCTGAGAATGTCAGGACTAGAAAAATGCAATGCAGCTGTAGAGCGAGAAGAACAAAAAGTATGTATGCGTATCTCCCAGGATCTTTGTTAATGTCTACTCATCCCTAAAGTATTCTCAGGAGTGGTGATTCAAAATGATATGGTGGAAGTATGATATGCTCAGAAACTATGCAGGGTCACTTCCATTCAATCTGTTGTGTTTTTAGACCTCTTTATAATTACAGACCAACTACTGATTGCCGGACACTAACTTAAGGTTTTCCTATACATTATGATGTTTAATTTATATAACAACCACATTTATATAATAACCCTAACCCCATAAGGATTAAAATATCATTTTAAAAATTCAAGATGTCAGGGATGTAGTTCAGTGGCACAAGTGCCTACCTGGAAAGAACAAGGTCCTGAGTTCAATTCCAGGTACAAAAAAAATAATAAAAATTCAATACTTCAATATGTAAAAATAAGGACATGTGTGAGACTATACTTTGGTCTTCTAGCTGTAGGTTAAATGCTATATGTACTCCATCCAAAAATAGGAAGGTGTGTCTGAGTGAAATATTTCACACAATAGATATATTGTGCTGGATAATTCATCAGTGTAAGAGGCTGTCCTGTGTATGGCAAGAATTTTAATAGCATCCCTGTTCTCCACACACCAGATTAGTCACTAGCACCAACACACCCACTCATTATAATCAGATATTGCCCCAGAAGTTGTCAAAATCTCACTGGGTGGTAAATTACCCATGATTTAGAGTCATTGACCCAGTTACTACTGATAGTTAGCCTATGAAAGTCTATATCATCATATTTTACACGAAGCTGAAGGACATTCTGGAAAATATTCAGAAATCTACACAGATATCGTATTGTGTTAGGCTTTCCAAATTGGTATAAAAAAATTAGGGTGCCATAGATTTCTTTATTTTAAAAAATTTCCTTTAGATACCATGGGTATCTCAAGACCTGGATCCTTGTCCTTTGCCTTACTTAATCAAGACCTGGATCACTCCATGTAAAACAACCTTGTAAATATCTATGCAAGGAATATAGGCAAGGCACAAATTTATAACTTAACTAGTATCCTAGGAAACAAAGATATATATTATACCCACTTACCAATGAAAAAATTGTACAGAACACACCTTTTGAAATACTTTTAAGCCAAAGGTACCCCTTCAAAAGAACACCAGACTTAGTTTTATTATTATACTCCCACTTACTGAGAGCAAGCTCTTCAACACATGTGCTATGTTAATTAATAGGTGCTGATAATTATAAAAGAATAAACATGGCCTGCCATCAGAGAACTTGAAACCTTATACGTGAGCATACTCATAAGAAATTCATTGTTTAAAGGCAATATTGGAGAAGAGAGTGATGTGGGTCAGAGGGCCCTGTGTTCTGTAACTCCCTTAGGGAAAACATAATCAAACAGAATTGTATAATCTGTATTTTGAGCAAGAGAGTTTGCGTGTACCTCAGATACATTCACATAATTAAAGGCTACTGCCAGAAGTGTGGAGCTACTGATGGCATTGAAAGGATAAAGGGTCAGTCTGTAGATTAGATTGTGAGTGGCCTTCTCTAATCACAACTGATATAGTGATTTAAGTTCATTGTAAATCCATAGTTATCTGTGAGATAGATAGAGCCCTTTGATTGGTCTACTATAACTGTCATTTGTTAATATAGAATCATTTCCTTTTGATGATTCTGATTCTGGGGCTTGATTCTGGGGCTTGAATAGTGACCAGCAGTTTACAAATAAGTGAGGGTACAAAAGAAATTCTCAGTAAGGGTACTGCTATGCCAAGGAATGTGTCAATTCATTCATCAAGTCAAATTGTTTCTGAACATTTGCTTTATGCCAGGCCTGTACCATAATTTAGTGATACAAACATAATCAGTAGAGCCATAGTTCCAGACTTTAGGAAGCTAATGATAAAAACATATCAATAGAGTCTGATAAGCAGGAGAGGCACGAGGAGCAGAGAGTAACTTCTAACTGAACATGATGCTCAGTGAAACCATCTTAGAGGAACAGAAAATTAAATTGGGGTCTGAAGGCTGAAGGACAAGGAGTAAGGCAAAATGTGAGCCATCTAAGTGAGATAGCTGGATGGTGACAAAGGAAATGACAACTGAATTGAGGTAGTGCTAAAAAAGAAAGCCAAAACAACAGATAGAGTTAAATATGATTGAATTGACCTGGAAAATTAGGTAGAAGGAAGAATTGAAAAACACACCCAGGTTTAAGACTTGAGTGGCTATATAGAAATTGATATTATTTATTGAGATGAGAAATACAGAAGAAAGATCCACTTGAAAGGGTCATTTTGTGGGGGTCAAATTGAGTTTGAAGAATTGGCAGTTCAATATATAGAGATCTGGACCTACAAAGAAAAGTTTCAGATGGATGTTGTAGTATCCTCAGTATATCTTCAGCATCTGGACATAAACCTAATCCAAAGATGTAGAGAATATCTCTCAGGATTCCCAGAAAAAAAAGAGAAAGGAGGAGAAGCAAAGACATGCCAGATAATAAAAAAAGAACATTAGGGATGGAATCCAATTTAGACAAGAAGAAAAGAGTCACTCTTTTATGATATTTTATGATAATTCAAAAAGGAGCATTTGTGCTTGAATTAAGAAATAGATAGAATAAGAGGAGAATGATTACTTTATCAAGTTTTTGTACTTAATGCATGGTAAATGGGAGAATACAAAATAATCCTGAACTGTTGCTTGGGTAGACACATGGATGGCAATGTGACATCCATCAAAAGGAAATGATTCTATATTAACAAATGACAGTTATAGTAGACCAATCAAAGGGCTCTATCTATCTCACAGATAACTATGGATTTACGATGAACTTAAATCACTATATCATTTGTGATTAGAGAAGGCCACTCACAATCTAATCTACAGACTGACCCTTTATCTTTTCAATGCCATCAGTAGCTCCACACTTCTGGCAGTAGCCTTTATTTATGTGAATGTATCTGAGGTACACGCAAACTCTCTTGCTCAAAATACGGATTATACAATTTTCCAGGGACTCTCGATTCCTTTTAGGGGAAATGAGCATTATTACACTCTAAGAGCTGGCCAGTAAGACTGCAGAATATGTTGTCTTGTGAGATAAATTAACCATGGATAACATGATATCAGCAAAAGAGCATATTCTTGCTCAGAAATATACTGGCTCTATATTACTTTCCATATTTTATAATTTATTTTCAGAAACCTTACCATTTACTTTTTTCATTAAAACCATCTTCTATTTAATTTTTGGTAACATTAAAAATATTCATATTTTATAATTTATTCTCATATGTGTGATTTTAATGAATTCTCTCCTAGGTTTTTATATAATTGTACTGGAATGTGTTTGAATTTGCTATAAAAATGCATATTATCTATTAGGTTTATTATTATAAGAAATTTTCTATCCCCCTACATCATGGGGAGTGCCTGGGACTGGGCAACCAGCTTGACAAGGGGAAGCCAGTGCTTGGCTGACAACCTACACCACAGTAAGGGGAGCCAGGATAGGAAGAACCTGAGGCTCAGAAACTGAATCAGTCAGAGAAACCCAGGGCAAATCCACTCTAACAAGGAGAAAAAAATTGCATGTAAGTTCTTAATTTATGATGGATTCTGTTATATAGCTATAAACATTATTCCTATTGTCCAAAGTACAAAATCAATGGTTACCACAGCTTGTCAACTCTAAACTTTGCTTGCTGCTATTGTTATTGTTAATTATACCACTGTAGCCAGGAGGTCACATTTGTTGTCACATTTATAGCCAGGAGGTCACCTGTTTTCCCTTCAGTAACTATATTGGGAAGCTTGGGCATAATAACCTCACCACAGCATAACACCTAGAGACTGTGGATAAAGCCAAACACAAACCAACATCCCACTCTCAGTTATTTGGGAAAATATGAGCTTGGGACAGATACAAAGCAAGAATGTCCTACATATAGAAGACGTTCCTGAAGAACAAAATTTTCCTAGAGAGGCCTTGATAATGTGATATAGCTACCTACTACCAAAAGTCACAAGGATCATCACAGAAAACAAAATAAAAAATGTTTTTGAAATAAAAGGTGTTAACACAAAGGAGCAAAATGCACTCTTGGAACTCCAGCCCACATGAAAGAAATCTAGGGGACATCAAGTATAGAGCAAATTTGAAGTCACATACATAAAATTTCTGCAATGATAGTAACTGAAGTAAAGAAACAACTCCGGAGGCTACAGAGGAAATAAGATCTGAAATAATATCTCAGGCATAAAAGGAAATAACAATCCTAAGGAAGTAATTGCTTAGCATTTCTAAAAACAACATGCATAAAAAATAGAAGATGATAGAGAAATGATAGAACCCTTGACTAAACAATATAGGGAAAGTTTAGAATGCATGAAAAAGATTCAAAGAGATATCAGGGAAATAAAAAATTCAATTGAAAGCTGGGAAAATTGCTTGAACAAAACTGAAGACAGACTTTCAGACCCTGCAGATAGCATTGCAGTTAGCATCCATTAAAGGAAAGATGTCTTAAATATAACAAGAAAACAAGAAATAACAAGCTGCAGGATGATGCAAAAAAAAAGTCAGATAGGTGTCAATGAAAAAACAGGAGTCAACACAGATGACAGAAAGAGACCTATTAGGAGAAGAAACAGCAAAAAAAATCCCAAGCATTTGAATAGAATCTTAAATATAATTAAGCGATGCATACAGAACTCCAAATAACCATCACCAAAATAAATCTACACACATATATAATAATCAAAATTCCAGAAAATCAGCACAAAAGCAGAATAGTAAAAGCTGTTAGAGAAAAGAAACAGATAACCTATAAAGGAAAGCCTATCAGAATTATGGCAGATTTCATAACACAATCAAGTCAAGAAGTGAAGTATTTCAAGTCCTAAAGAAAACAACTCCCAATGCAGATTGATGTACTATACAAAACTAACTTTTACAGTTGATGGAGAAAGGCTAAGGAGATAGCTCAGTGGTCTAAGCACCTG